TATAGTCCTAAAGGACTAAAGATGGAAAGGAAGAATCTTGTCTCTGACTGCTAGCTTTTTGCCCCTGCACATACTGTGGAAGTCTGAACATTCAATAATAATGAAGGATAAAGAACAGGGATAGTTCTGTGTGTTCATCCCTTATTTCCAGAATAACCACGTACTCTCTAGCTGAGTCAGTTTCTCCTCATTTAGAAGGATGATGAAGGGTTGGGAAGGGCAGGTCATGTATGGAAATTTTCCTATCCAAGATAACTGTTCTCTGACTCAAAGACTTAGAAGACAGATGAGAGTTCTTTCAACTGCTTTGCAAATTATGAAAGAACACATGGGACCAAGAAGAACACTCAGTATCACAGAATTGTAGAATCACAGAATTGTAGGGGTTGGAAGGGACCTCCAGAGATCATCGAGTCCAACCCCCAAGTATAGGACAGGTATAAGAGATACTAATAATTCTGATAGGAATTCTCAACACCGTGCATGAAATACTTAAAAACATATTAATACAAGAGCACATTACCTGCTCCCACAGAGATGTTCTCAGTCCCTTGCTCTCCACTAGCACACACAGCAGGGGTGTGGATGGTGCCGTTTATCCATCAATCCTACTCACTCAATTCTGACAATCACAATTAATGACTGAAGTGCTGGAGTCAACTTGTAAAGTTTTAAAGAAAACAAATAAAAATGGCAGTGAAACCGAAAACAGGAGCTAATCTTAATTACAAACGTGAAGTCAAAAGCTTCAGTGAAGTCACTCTCCCACTACAGTGTTGCCTTTAGTTGAAGACAAATTGCTAGCGTTTTTGTAATCTACTAAGTTAAAGTCATTATGCTGACAGTGCCAGGAAGTCTCATTTCCTGGAGCAGTAACACAAAGATTTATAAGTGAATTTAAACGCTCACCTTCTGGAACAGGAAATCTATCATCTGCATTGGGCTACATGAAAAGTGACTGAGTATTTGAGATAACAGAGAAAGAAGAAATTCACCTCTCTCCTCTGTTTACATCCCCAAAATGCAAGTGAGTTGAAATAATCAAAATGGAAAGGAAAAATTAATGAACAATATAGAAACTGATTTAAAGGAGAGAACGAGTTAGTTTGCCCACTGGCTGAAAATGTACCTGAACATCCATCCTCACGGCTGAAAATTTTCAACTCCTGAATGAGATGAAATGAAACCAGAGCTGAAGTTCAACACTCAAAGCATCTTAGAGTATCCTCTTTTATGCCATTAGATGTCTGCATGCATACACAAGAAGTCAAGGGATTTGTCTAACCCAAATACCAGCCTTGGACTTAATTAGGAATAACTGACCAATTACACACGAAAAGCAGTTTTGCCCTTCTGGACTTTCTCTTTCCCATTGTAGCACCGATGAACAGAGATGAACAATCCAGCACCTTCCTATCAGGAAGATTAAACATTACAACCTTGCCAACACCTTCAGAGGGCTGACACACACCAATGCTGATTCTTATCTCTTAATCTGCCATTTGAGGCACTGCTTTCCACTGCACAGGTATGATTAATCCTTGTCCTTCTCCTACTGCACGGGCCTCCTGTCGCTGCTCTTGCTCAGAAATAAGGATGCTGCTAACAAAGCCAAGGAATTGTACTATGCTACATATTTAATGTGCACATCAACATTCACACCAAGGTAGTGCAGAAAAACAGGCTGCAGAGGAGAGAGCCAACACCACCGTCAGCGACCTACTTTATACGGGGAAAGGGATTTCAGCAAGGCTGCTGCTTCTCACAGAAGAAGGAATTTCTGAAAGTGCTAAATATAGTGAGGTCCCAATGACAGCATTCATAATTTCTTCTTAGTGCTGTTTCCTTCTCATACGGCCCTCTGCAAGCTCTTATCATTTCCCCAAAAGTTATCCTTTCTCCCTGTTGAAAATATGCTCCTTTCAACAAAGTGGAATCATGATGCTTCTCTTCCACAGTCCTTCCTCACGAGGACAGCAGTACTCTGGATGCTGCCAGAGCATGTACACATATCTTTGTTTTTCAATATCAGATGAGACAGCTTCTGAAAGCACTGCAAGATCTCTCATCTGACATCATCCAGTTTGCTACAGATGATAACCCTGAACTGGAAGCATTCCCCAGCAGAATGCCTAGCACGTGAAATTATAAAGGCACAGAAATGGTTTCAGGGCTGCTCAAATGCTATGTTGCAGCAAAATCCAGTGTTCATAAATACAAAACAAAACAACTAGAGCAATGAGAAGAAAAGAAGACTTCAGAGCATCCATTTGAAAAAAAAAAATCTCCTTTTATTCATCCCTTACTCTCCAAAGAAAACAAATAATGGGAGAAAAATTGCTGGAATTTCAACCAGGTAACAACCCCACACTGCCTTTGTTCCGTTCAGGATGTGAACGTGCTCACAAGCCATTTTGAACAGAGACTGAAAAAGCCTCAGCCACCGAAACAGACACCGACACACCCTCCCCATTCCTCTCCAACTAGAAGCTACTGAAGTTTCTGCTTTTTCACATTCAGTTATGTGACAGCATCGCCGTTCGGCTTGGTTTCCATGACAGTTTTTGTAATTCTGAGAGTAAAGAAAATTTTCAAAGATGATACTTTCTATCGAGACTGAGCTAGTTGATAAGCAGAGTATCAATTAAGCTCAGTGATCACGTCTAAGATTATTTCAGAAAGAAATCATGTTGGTGCTTCTCCAAAGCCACTCTTAAGCCCAACAAGGAAGGAAAGCACCACTGATGATGACTCAGGACTGCATGAAACTTGCAACACTGCATCCCAACATTTAGTCGGCTACTCCCATGTTCAGCTGCTGCACTGCATGGAAAAAAAACCTACTACCACAGTTTCACTTGCCTAGAAAGATTCTAGTTGAAAAGTCACTTTAATATGACTTTAATAATACATGAAAGAGATTAATCTATAATTGTTGATTTTTGAAATAGCACTTAACTGTGTCACTCAAACAGAGTGCCTTTGATCATTAAAATTTGCATGGCTTTCCAGTCTCAGTTACAAGGATCTGCCTCAGCTGAGAGCGGATCTCATCAGAGCCAATTATCCTCTATGGCACAGATCTGACCTAGGCTCTTAAGGGTTTTAAGACTGCAATTTTATTCGTCTCACTGAACAACTCAAAGTCCTAGAGATCTTTTTATGACCTTTAATATTCAGGAACTCTCACTTTAACTAAACGTCCTAAAGGAAACTACTGATTAAAAAAAAAGGGCACAAAAAAGTGTCCTTGCATTCCCCCACCCCTTGGAATACACAAACGTGCAGATCCCACACCAACGGCTTCTTAAAAAACACCATGGAATCAATCAATGTAGTGAGAGATGTCATCAGATTATAATCTATTCCATTTAAACGAGAGCATCTCAGAATTGTCAAAAATTATCTATTCAAGTGCATGACTTCTAGATACCGAATATAATGAGCTGTGTAAGCTCAGACAGATGTAGCTCCCATTAAATATGCCTCACCTCTACCATTAGAAAAAGGCATATCAAAGAGTTTAATCTTAAAGAAAGCTATGCAAAATACATTTCTTTGTAGAAAATCTGGATCTTTTTTTTTTTTCCTAAACTTTACTGGCACCCTCATTCTTTTCTAAGTATGATTGGAATGTTAGAGTTGAAGCCCTTGCTATATTTTGCCTTTTTTTTAAAAAATTTTTTTTAAACATCCTTGCAAAGTCTCCTTGCTCTGCAATGTCAGTGCCCAGTCCTGAACTGATGCCATGAAAGTGAAAGCTGGTTATGAGGTCTGACCAGCAGCTTTCTGTACAGGATGGTATTGCACCTTCTAGAGGGCGCATTACTGTCTTGTGCAATAATGCACCAAGTGAAAACCACAGTTTGGATAACAGCCTAGAAACTGCAACCAGCGTAAAGGGTGCCTGCAATTTCAGTTTTACACTCTGAAGAACATTCAGTTCTTGCTATTTACAGATCACGAAGGTGAGGGTGCTGCAGGAGAGCTCTTCTGCCAGGCCAGGTGAACAGTGTGGCAGCACAGCAGTTGCTACGACTGTAGTTGTATCTGCAGTGATACTGCACACACTTCTAACAAAAACTTGTACAAGTTTCAAAACGCTTTCCAATGCTATAAGAAGTATGAGAAGACCCAAACAATCTCATAGCATTCAACTAAAGACAGCATATTCAGGATGGATGTACAGACTGAAGGAGAACTGCTGGAACCTGAAGCACAATGCTGAAAAACTGAAGAAACACAGATATTCCAGGAATGGGAAAAGATTAGTGGTTAGTGCACTTCATGCTTTCTCGTATTTCCTTACACTCAGTTCAGTGAGGGAATTCACAGTTGGAGTTGTAAAGGAAGCCAGCATGCACTCAACACTTCAGCGAGGCACAATCACCAAACCCTACTCACAGAACACCCTGAGCTGGGAGGGACCCACAGGGGTCAGAGCCCAGACAGCAAACCCAACGTCTGACAGCCCCAGTGCTCCCCCAGCTCTGGCAGCTCAGGGCTGTGCCCACTGCCCTGGGAACCCTGTGCTGGGCCTGACCATCCTCTGAAGAACCTTTCCGTAATTCCCAACCTGAACCTCTCCTGAAATGGAAATCTCACAATAAACTTACGGGCTGAGCTACGAAAAGAATTCTCTACTTTCCAGTACCATGCTGTATTATGGGCGTAATGAAAAATATACCTATTAGAAACCAGCAGATTTTAAGCAATCTTTAGAATTCAAAATACAGCAATTCATTCACAGCCCTTGGATTTAGTGTTACTTCTTCCTTGATTTTTGGTAATCCTTAGCTCAGGCAGGCCTCTACAAGTTTAATACAAAAGCTGCTTGTATCTAGCATTACTAGATAAAAACCAGCACTGACAAATCTATTATTTCAATTAAACAAATACAAAATAAAGATCAATATGATTGATTCATGTCTCAAATCCCTCTAAGAGCCTCCAACTCACATGCTACTTGTTACTTCCAAAAGCACAGACATTAGCATTACCTTTTGCTGTCTCAGACCGCTTGGGCAAATCAAGTGTATCAAAATTCCTGTCCAAATCTCCATTCTTCTTTCCTGTGCAAAAAAGAAAAAAAAAGAAAAAAAAAGAAAAAAAGAAAAAAAAAAAAAAGAGGACAACAGATGGTGAAGACCAATCAAGGAAGTGCAATTTTAGCTATTTATTAGCAAACGAGGGAAACAATTTCATACTTTTGCTAAGAGAATTCTAAACATACATTACATAAACTTTAACTTAAACAGTTCTACACAGAAAAGTGGAACAGCACCTTGACTTCACTTTTAGGCTATGGATTCAATTTAACGTATGCAGCTGGGGAGAGAAGTGTTAATTTTCTCTTCCTCCACCGCAGACATTCCGGCTTGGGTAAGCACACCCAAACCCTATGGGATAACCAAGCATTGCCACTGGGAGTCCTGGAACAGAGATACGAGATTCTGAAGGAAGTGCAGGAATCTACATAGCTTGGGAGGGCAGCACTACACAGTTCAGCCTTCCCTAATTACTTCAGGGGGAAAATCTTGTTATCTAGTCCCTCTCCCTCAAGAACAGCAGAAGAAATTGCAACAGAGAATGATGCGATGAATTCGCACTCAGTTCAGCTGCTCTTGAACACAGACCCTACCAGACTGCTCAGGGAGGTCTGCAGGAAGAGCTGAAAGCTGCCCAAGTCAGGATGCTTAACAGCAAACAGGCAGAAAATACTGAAAAATATAACATGGAGACTGGTCTGGCTCTGGACTGGAACAGGTCAGAGAACAGGAGAGGCCAATCCCTGTCCTGTCATAGCAGGAAGATGAATCCCATGAGCCATTCTATCTTCTTGATGAAAAATAAACGTGTGCAGTACAGAAGAGAAACAGTGCTTTTGAATACCAATAAGAACATTTAGAAACACCAGGAAGAGAAAAGAAAAGAGCCCTCAGGATAGCATTACATCCCCACTGTTTCTTTGTAAATACTACTTTTTTTTTAATTTTTTTAATTTTGAATCTTCAGCACAGAATATCAGCCAACTTTCAGTGCTGTACAAAACCAAACACACATCTGCAAGTTCTGTTCATCTGAAGCCATTTGATTAAAGTATGGCAAAGCCCCAAAGCCCATCTTTCTGAACTGCCAAAAAATCATGGGACCATACAGCATGCCAGTGCTCTGAAAGGCACCTTTCCTAAAGGGAAGGACAGGACGCAGCTGTAACTCTGCAGACCTCCATCTAGTTTCTGTTCCATGAAAGAACTTGAAGCATGTTGCTTGGTGAACTAAATACCAGAAAGAAAAAATGAACAGTAAAGGACACTACATTTCATAATGACAGCTGAACACTGTTAGTGCTTGCAAACCTTTGCAGACTGTCCAAGCAGAGGGACTGAAGAGGACATTAGTCATTGTTTAGGAAATATTACAAACTTGGGACAGACCAAGAAATGGGACTCCACTGTAACTACAAGCATGACTAACTCCTTTCACACATCCCCAATTTCATGTCTCTGGCATTAGCTAATTTAAAAAACCTATGAATAATTGCAGCAAGAGCCAGACTTCACTCAACACAACCACTTATTTCAGAAGTTCTCTATGTAAAGACAGGAGATTCTATTAGCCCTGCAGAACTGACATGGCTCAGTAAGAAGCAGGATCCCTCCAGCCTGGTGCCACCAGTTAAAGACATTGTCCAGGAGAGCAGTGTAGGCTGCTGCATCTTTTCAGCTGGTAGTGCAGAAGCAGCTGTTTACTAAGCCATTTTTCCACTGTGCATTCTCTCATCTTCAGTGGTAGTCTCAATTTCTGGACCACACCGAATGTACTGCTCACCTTTTAGGAAGCCTTTACTGGTTTGTCTCTCAGAGGAACTAAACCAGCCCTCAGACAAAACCACGTCTCTTTAGAACAGAAGCTGCCAGCAGTTTACTACTGGAAGAAATTCAGGAGACAGAGCTCTGACCAATGGGATCTCTGCTTTACCAACTGCTTGTTTAATCCAATTCAGCAAGGGCCAGGTTCAGAAATTCCCAAAGCACCTCCATTATCTGGGGCTTTCCTATAGGGAGCGGATGAGGAACACGAGGACTAAGCTGTAAAATGACTCCAAAAGAAATCCATCCGGAAGGCAAACATGGTGCAGCTGCTCCTGTTCCCATCTGATTTCCAAGAGACCCACAGTATTGATTTGGATTTCCTAACAAGGTGACAGCATTCAGCAATTTCAAGAGCCTATCAATTACAGACCTCTCAGCCTCACCTAGCCTGAATGACATCATGAGAAAGCAGCTTCACTGACAGCCACTGCAGCTCTGAATATCACTCAAGCCTGCCAGCATTGTTAGCACACAGGGATGTTTAAAAGATCATGCTAGCAGTTTAAGGCACGTGGTTTGGACATCTCAATTTTTTCCCTTCTATACATCTCCTTCCTCCCCAAGTTTTACAGCTCTAAGAACAGGAGAGAAAAGATTATGCTGCTGGATCAAAAGCACAGCTCCAGACTTGGCCAAGAGACAGACAGCTTTGAATGTGCCTGCTGACAGGTCTGTTTTATGAGACCTGGCTGAAGGAATTGGCACAGCAATCTGCTTTGGGAAAACAGCCTGACATGAGACTTGATTGTACAAGAAGCAATTTACAGTCTCTGAAACAGTAGGATTAAAATTCTTTCCCTCTCCCCCCACTACTTTTATGTAAAAAACAACTAAAACATGACCTTTGGCATCCTCACTGTCAGAAGCTTAATAAGGACTGTGAGATATAACCCAGTGTTATTAACCAATAGTGCTGTTTATCATCTTCCTCAAATATCATTTTGTTTCCTTGGATAATCGATACAGCTATTCACAGCTAGACCACTCTTGCTGAAAGATTAATTCCCAAACACTTCGAGTTAAGAAAAAAAAAAAAAATAGTGCAGAGATTCTTCATGACACACCAGAACAGCCAGTGCTGTGCTCCTAAGTTTTGTTCATATGCTCCATCGCCGCCCAGTTCAGCGGGTGATGCAAGGCCAGGGCTGCGCTCTGCCCCTCTGCAGGTCCCCCCCAGAGGCCTCCAGTCACAGTCTGTGAGCAGCATCCCCCAAAATGCTCACAAGCACAGTCTGTTCCGTAGAGCAATTTTTTCAACAGTTTAATTTTGACTCAACTCTTTGAACACAGTGAGCTGAAGCAAGTGTCACAAACTGACAAAGAGCCAGTCTTTACCCCTCAGTGTCAGTGGAAATCTCCAGGATACTGCACAGCAAACCGAACTCCCAGCTGAGGAGTAAGGGAGGTAAACTTTAGCCTCAGTCGTACATTTCCAATGGCAATTCCACCTGCTGTGCTGGGATGAGAAGCTGAAGGGTGCAGCTCCCCAGCAGCTTACTGCAGGTATCTTCAATCTAGCTAGCCTGAATGTCAGTAACAAAGATGCAGAAGGCTGGGCCGCATTCCCAAGCTGACAAAACGACCTTTATGAGTACAATTCCAAGCTGCTGAGTCTTTACACTTATTGCTACCCAGGTGAGTTAGCAAAACTAAACTTTGACATGATAGACTTAGCAAGGCAACTTGCACACTTACCTGTGCCCTCCCTAAAAGGGATTGTTAGGCTGGTTGCAAATCAATTATGCCAGGACTGAATAAAAATGTGCCATTTCTGCTTTTAGCGTGAGAAGAACAAACTGAAAATGCTCTCTCAATTACACAGCAGATTTCCATGCCTGCTGAAATGAACAGGAGGAAGCAGAGCATGGAGGAGCAGAGAAGGTGAATGAACAAGACCTTAATCTCAGCTCTTTGCCTTGCATGTAGAAGCTGAACAATGTAGATTATGGTGATGATGGAAAGAAAGTATTGCAGAGACTCACCTTGATTGAACCACTCCTCTAATTACCAGAAAAGCAGCAAAAGAAAAACAAGAATTTACAGGAAGGAAGAAAACATAAAGGAACAGTCACAAAGAGGCAGAATTTTACAAAATAGGTTAAAACCTGAGGCTTACAAGAAAATTATCAACTTTCATTGATTAAAAACAAAACAAGAACAAACTCACCAAAACAAACAGACAAACAAAAAGAATCGGATATTCCACTCTCTTTCTTTTGTTCCTGCTGAGAAAAATCTTTCCCTGCAGGTCTTCCTTCCCCCGCCCCTCCTCATTCCATGGAAAGGGCTCAGAGCTCCGCGGGGACGGGAGGCTGCCAGCCCCTCACAGATGGGTTTGAAATGCTATGATCGATGATCATGAGCTGAATTAAAGCAAATATGGAAACGCTGCAAGATTAAGTGAGCAAAAGAGGGAGGGAATTGAAGCGACCTATTTTCCAGCCCTCGGCCGACACAATTAAGACAGTTTCAGCCTAGGTATTCACATCAATTTAACAGTGGGAAAAGGGATTTTCTATTTCTGACTTTGAAGGCACATTTACACACATGGCCAAGCCCAAGCTGTCCCTGAGCACCACCAGCACCGCTTGCTGCAGTCTGTGGGCTCGTCCTTGTGCCACGTGGTTTTGAGAGCAATTAATCCAAAAGGACCCAGTCAGGCTTTGTGGCTGACGGACAGGAGCTGCCCAGGCGTACCAGCGCAGAACCGGGCCGCGCAGGCAGCAGGCAGACACACGGCAAAGGACGGCCAGCCGAGAGCGCTCTGCCTTCACAGCCATCGCAGGATGACGACAGCTCCTCCTCCACAACGCACACACTGTGACACGTCAAAACCTTCCCACCGACTGCTGCTCTCAAGTGGCCAAACAACACGGGAGACAAGAGGCAGGAAAGAGGCTCGAGTCAATGTGCACTCCAGGTTTCTGAAGGATGTCACAGTGAAGTTTGAGTCATTCACGATGAGAACAGGCAGGCTGGGCAGGTTATACTGCCTTTTGTTTCCCCCCAGCCATTACAAGGTCCCCAGCAATTAATTTTTTGTTTTGTTTGTGGTTTTTCTTTGAGCACAGACTCAACTCTGGTGACAGACTGCTCTAGGAACATGCCTTCACTCTGTGGTGACTTTAACACATATGGAAACACAAAACGTTTTAATAACATGTACAGGTCACATCAAAGGAAGCCCCCTGTACAGAACACAGTCCCTCAAGTTCAAACAATTTCACGTATTCCCTTCAGCACCAAAACCTTCCTCAGATCCTGGCCATGAACAGTAAGCCAGGATGCGAGTGCGCACCAATGTGGAGAACGGAGGCCAGACAGGAACATGAGTTCATTACCTCTGAATTCAGCCTACAATAGTCATTTCTCAGAACACCAAAGAAAACACAAGTTTCTTTTGTACCCAAATGCATTGCGCTGTCTCTTTTTAAGAGGAAGATGGAAGCAGGGTTACTGAGACTGTTAATCTTTGCTTGAAATGAAAATCATTTGCAACTTTCATGCCCCAGAGGAAAGAACAGGTCTGAAAGTGACTGACAATTAAAAGCAACAAGATCGTGTCTGCAACTTAAATTACTGAGTGACAGAATTGGGAGGTTCTATCTCCTGGTTGCAGGTGAGAGGACAGCCCTTCAGTTTGTTTTCACGTGGGAGACTGAAGGCATGGAACACAGACAGGACTCCCATGCATGGAGATGGATGCGTGCTGGCCTGGCTTCCAGAGACAGCAGCACATGCTCTGCAGCCAAGCAAGAGTAAGCGTAGATCTGACAGATGCAAGAACACAGCCAAGAAAAGGATAGGAGAGCACAGCCACCATTATCTCGCAGCAGCATATTACAACAGCATGCATCACTCCTATTTAAAGCCAAACAGAAGCGCAGCAGTTGTGGACAAAGATCCCAAACACTGAGCAGTAACACAGCAAGGGAGATGACTGCGTGCCACAACACTACAACACGTACCTCTGCAAACTGCATCACTCTAGCATTACGAAACGGCTTGCAAGAGCAGAACTGAACAGCACAATTTACCCCAAGTACACTTCCAGTTTTCGGTTCTCTGTGAGACATACCTTTAGCTTTCTTTCCACCAAAACAACCAGCATCGTCTTTCTTCTTTTTCTGAGAGCCTCCTGTGCCTGCAGTCTGACCAGCATCAAGTTCTTGATATTTATCAGCTCCAGGGACCTCCTTGTGGACATGATAGGAAAGGTTCCGCATGATGCACACACAATTCTCCACGGACTGCAACAAAAAAATTTACATTAGAAATAAGTATTGTATCCTTCTATCTGCAAACTGTTGTATTACACCACAGTGGAAAGTTTGGAGAAGTTAAAAAAGAAAAAAAAAAAAAAAAAGGCCAGCCACCCCAGGAAAAGAATGGAAGAATGGTATATTAAGCAAATTCAGTAAAAAAACAAAAAAAACCAAAAAAAACCCCAAAACTAATTTCGCATTTTTATCTGCTCAAAACCATTTTTTTTCTTCAAAAGTTAACACTTCATAAATAGTACCCATTCAACACGAAAATTCTCTAATCAAGAAAACCATCTGATCACGCATAAAGAATACAAAGTCACCAGAAGATCAAACACACAGCAGAAAACCATCATTTAAAGTTCTTATTTTAAATCGTCTCTCACTCTTCCAATCTCTACAATCCCCAAGAGACTCTATCTATTAAGTCTCATCTGAGTCAAAATGAAGGCTGTGTGAGGAGTTCAATGAGAACACACATTGCTCTGCAGTAACAGCTGATTCATAACATACAACACGGTCAGTTTTGACACGAACAACGCTCTGTAGGTTGCAATGGAAGCCACCAGGTGGTTACAAAATCCACTTCCAAAATACCTGATTAAGTGACAGGGCTTTAGAATTCCTTTGTGCACACTATCACATGGTAGGAAAAAAAGAAATGATAAAATAAGGAATGAAGTTTTTGGTGTTAAAAAGCAACACTCTGCTCCTTCATAAAGGGTTAAACTGAAGATATTCCTCATGCTTTTAAACATTATTTTAAGCACTACATGATGAAGTGATGATAAAAGCAGATGAATCGACATTTGTACCTACAAAAGAAAAAAAGCCACAAAAAGCACTGCAGGACTAAAGACATATCTTAACATCTTGGCACTACATCATTTTAAGCTGGCATTGAAAAAACTCTTTAAAATGAGAACTAATCCCCTTGCTGATGTTGTGCAAAGCACAATACAACAGGACTCAGTTCAGATTTGGAGAGACTGCACTGAGGAAAGTTGATTAAGTAATGCAGAACAGCATTAATACCATCAGGATAAGAAAGTACTGCTCTCCTCACCCATTTCAGCCACTTGCCTTTGCTCACCTCAACAGCCACACAAGGTAATGCAGCAGCAATGCTGATCCTCTGTCAGTACTATCATGGGTATCATGACAGAGATGAGAGGAAGACAATTACTGTGTTTCAAGAAGCAAGCACAATCCCATTCTAAAACCAGCAAAACAGAAGTCAGATCAAGTGTAACACTTGAGACTAAAGTAACAGAAACACCATTCACATTTTAATACTCAAGCTCACCTTATTGTCTGTATCTTTCTTGCCAACTGCAGACTGTAGGGCATGAAGGAGGGCATCCACCAAGCCATCACACTCTCTTAGTCTTCTGCGTGCTTCTGCTCCATCTGAACTTACATTCCTAACAAAAGAGATTTAAAAGAAATTTTAGCCCACTGGCCTTCAACCACAAGGCTGAAGGTGTGTCAATTTACATTGCAATCATTAACAATCATTAGCTCGGATCAACAATTTGGGGGTAAGCCTCTTTGTTAACTTGAAGGAAATTGAACTAAATTCTCCTGGTTTGTAAGGTCTTGATTCTCCCAGCACAAAGTGGAAAAGCATTTAAAGAAATGAAAGCTATTTTCTATTTACAGTACCTGATGCATGACTGCTGCACAGGCAAACTTATTATAGTTTACATACGTAACTCATTATGGTTTACATATGTTGTACATAAATGCATTCCACCTAACAGAATCAACTTTACAATTTCTTTCAAGGTCGGTTCATCCACCAGTGAAGAAAACTTCAGGTCACACGATCTAAAATTACTCTTTTCATGCATTACAGCAGACACCACTTGTACAAGTTTTCTGCAGGCTGGCGCCGATTTTCAGCACGAGCACAAAACAAGTGTTACTGCCAGAAAATGCTAATCCTCAGCATAGCAGGTCTCAGCATGAAGTGGTCTGCAAAGCTACTTGCTCTGAAGCTGAAGACAGCTCAGCAGCAGAGTACTCTTGGCCACAGAAACTGAAAAATACTTTTTGATTTCATGAAAAAGAATTGAAAACAGGCATACAAAAAACTAGACTATATTTAACTTTGCAGGGTCACTCCAAAAGTAATGCCTCCTATTCAATTCCATGGAAATTACAACAGATAGTGCAGATAACACAACTTAATAGAGAAAATGCTCAGCTGCAACACACAGTCACCACCCCCAGCTGTCACCACCCTCACTGAGCTCACAGCCACTGCTTGGCCTCCATCACCATTCAGCAAGCATCAATGAATGCCAATAGGTGCAGTTCTTTCCACATGGAGCACCCAGTGACACACCTGTGCTCCACACACACTCCCATGTCAGATGCCATTCTGTCAGAGTGCCGCCCTGCTGCCATCTGTCACACAGCAACCAAACATAGCGGGATGTTGGTGGGAAGCTTCAACCTCTGCTGCCATGCCACCAGCAGCTGCCTCTGATGTCATTGCCAGCATAATGAAACAGGAGGCATTACTTTTGGAGCAGCCCTCGTATGATCAATCTATCATGACCCAATTTTTGGGAGGGAACGAAGTGACAATACAATTCTCAAGTGCATCCATCAACAAGCCTACATGTAAGTTTTCTCCCACCTGAAACACTCTCATTTCAACAGCACAGTTAACACTTCAGCTTTCAGGGTCTTTGAATTCCACAGACTCACATAAGGTCACCTTTTGAAAGCTCAGAATACAGCCATTAACTTCTGCTACCAGGACAGCACGGCCAATTTTTCTTTCTCACTGACTGCAGGGACTGCCAACCTCAAAGTAATTAACAGCTCCGTCATAGTCTGTACTCTCAGCACCCAGACAGGCTGCCATGCTAATTGCATGACTGCAGAAAAAACATTTTCTCAGAGACCTCTCAAAGCCCAAAGACACTCAACATGAGCTAGCTGCTGTTACAGTGCATACACTTGTAATTAAAAAGACATAAGAAACTACAGATAAACGAGTCCTTTCCTCAGCATCCTGCACAGTCTCACCTCCAGCAATGGCTGACACAGGGCACAGTAGCAGCTATTCAAGTAGGATTCCATAGGATATTTAGAAGAGAGAACATGTGCTGTTTCTTCATCTCCAGCTGTACTCCTTAGTATTAAAAGCCTAAATGTGCATTGTTATACACTGCCTTTATCAAATTGAAAGTAGAATTCAAATTCTCAGTGATACCTTTCTGGTACCATACTAATAAACGACAGATGCTCCACCTATAAGCACATTTATCAGAAGCAGAACGTTACTTACTGCACTTGAGAGTAACAGAAATGCACTAAAAATGGTCCATCCAGCTCTGCATTACATTTCCTATTCCCTCATTAATTCTTAGAAATAGCAAGCTAAAATACATGAGGAATGCCTGCAGACGTTGCAAAATAAATAACTCAGATCTTTCAGAAAATATTCCTGAACGCCTTTCTTGCCCCCGTGGCTCATTCATGAAACTTTCTATGGTTCATTTGTGCCACTGCACTTGTAAATAACAATTTGTTTTACTGCTTTGGTTATCAAAAGCATTACAGGGTCTTGTACACTGCTTGTCTTATTTCTTCATCAGTTATAGGATTAATAGTAAAGTGAGTATCTATAACAGAAAATCATCTTTTAAAGGGCATCAGTAAGTGCAGCTTGTTGATCTCTCTTGCTCTATCTTCACCTATAGAAAAACTTACTGAAAATTAATACCTTTAAAAAAAAAACCAACCAACAAACAGTTCCACCTTTATCAAACATAAATAAGCGTGAGAATTCTGCAAGGTCAAATCAATAGTTAATTAATATTCTGTACAAACTGCACAGGCATCAAACTTTACAGTAGTAATGTCATAACTCACTTTACAAAACATATTCCTATGAGTATCTCATGCAGAACCATCTGCTCTGCAAGTGCCCGACACTCTCTTTGCTAGACCTCCTTGGGATTTACCTAACAACAGAATCCCTTTCCCTGTCTGTCACTGTAACCCAGACACACTGGAGAGCTCAGCTCGCATCCTTCACCTCCACTGCAGTCGGGGCAACAGAGGCTCCAGGGAGGCTGAGCCCACAGAGAACAGCTCTGCCTCCACAGCATGCACTGCTGCTGCTCTGAGTGTGCACAGCGAGAGCTCCCAGGGGAGCAGCTGCACTTCAGACACACACAGGTATGCCCGTAAGTGCCAAGGAAAGGTGGGCTCTGATAAGCTGTCACCTGGCAGTCCCTGGAGAAGAGCTGCTGGTGTTGGATCCACGATGCAGAACAACATTCAAAAGCCAGCGGTGCTGGGCTGAGCACGAGCTGTGCAGGAAAGGCCTGAGAGCGCCGGCATGCTGACTGCATGGCTCCTGCCACAGCCAGAGCTGGAGGGCAGAACCCTGCATGCAGCATCCCTCACAGTACAGAGGAAGCACCCAGATAAAGGACTCAGAACAGATTGTCTGATGGTCTCTTTTGGCCCTTGAAAGGAAGCCCCTCAATGTTCCGGGGGGAACATTCACCTCTGGTGAGTTCACCCAGAGAAGCCCGCTTTCCCCAAGACCTGCTTTTGAATACATTCCACAAGTCCACCAAATGAGAAAGCCATTTTAAAAACAAGAACAGCCTCTTTCTCCCATCACACTGCAAAGGGTGACAGAAAGCTTCCCAGTGTGTTTGCCATAAATACAATGGACTCAAAAGAGCAATTCTAGGAACCCGACATGAAATTACTGCCTGCGTTACTCTAAGGGTGCAGGATGGAAAGCAACTGCAGGACAGAACACCTCAGCCAGAGATTTGAAAACCTTTACATGACAATTCCTCCTCAAATTCTTGCAGCCTGGCCTGTAGGCAGGACTGGGGAGAGAGGATGTGCAAAGATGATTAAATATATGCTTTCCCTGGGAAAACAAAACAGAAGACTCCTAAGTAAATGTTAAATGAAAGCAAATATCTTCCAGCAGAGAAACACATCAGACTAGTCAGTATTAAAGAGTACAGAAAATAGTGGGAAACGTGTGAGAAACCTGTTCACACTTTAGGTAAGGTTACCATTAACACCAAATAGTCTTCTTAATGATATACAAGTCCAAATGTAGCAGTTACATCTGCAGAACAGAGCTGGTGTTCACCTCCAGGATAGGTGAACCACTGCTACTATCAGTGCCGTGCACCAAAATTATCCTCACAAGAAAAGATACAGGAGTAACCAAATACAAGGTGCTTCATTTGCAGGATTTTGGCGCGAATCACGAAGCTCTGTCCCGCTCTGCTCTCTAAAAGCCCAGAAGCTAGCTCTGAGTTTCTGTTTTCCAAAAGCAAAACACGACAAAGAGAAACCTCAACATACAAACACAGGAGAGACTTTTTTTCTCTGAGCATTTAAAGCCATACTCCTGACGGCAGTGCTGAGGCTGGCTGTCTCGCTGCGCTGCAGACGGAGCTGAAAGCCAAAGGTTACAGCACGACTAATGCTTACCATCACACCGCAGATCAGCAGGAGTAAAAAGCACTTTGTTTAGAAACCCAGCTGGGGACAAAGACAACAGGTTGAGAGCCACAGGGACTTTTGTCTTTTACATAAATCGAAAGCTAAAATTTAGAAATTTAGAATTCAGAAAGCTACTAGAAGCACAGAAACGCAGACAATCTGCAGCTGGGTCGGCGATAAGCACTTCAACAGCCTCTCTGCACACACTACAGGGCCTCAGCCCAAATTAATCTTACTTTTTACAACTGTAAACAATCTTTTAATAGTGATTTTTCTACTGCTAAGCCAAGAAGTAACGCTGGCTCCACTGCCCACCTCAGCACTGTTGCAGGAGGTGAAGACATCCACAATCACAGCCCCAGGGTGCAAACCAGCAGGTTAAGGAGCAGCACTGCCCCAGGGCTGAGCTGGCACAGCACACACCTTGCTAAGGCCCCAGTACCAACCTCACTTCAGCTGGCTCAACCAGGCATGACATCTCTACTTCAGCTGGTAAAAGAACATCAGGTTTTCACACGTCTCATTTAAATATTTTACTTGTCATGTCCTCCTACTCTGGCAGCCCAAACCCTTGCTTTAAGAACACCTTTCCACACTCACGCTTTGCTTCACTAGTAAGAATTTTTTATTTGGATGTCAGCCAGAAGAGATCGATTAGTAACAGCTGCAGCAAACATACACTACATCCAGCGCATTTCGAGTTACTGGGTGTCCCAAAGGGAGAATAGAGCCGTTTAAAACCATTCCATCATTTCATGCAGAAATACAATAAATTCCATACTTCAGTTCACATGAAATACCAAAAAGTTTAATTGGTATTAAGTTCATTGTGCTGAAAATAAGAGAGAAAAAGCAAGAAGCTGCCTGTGACATAAAGATAGCTTAATCCAGGCCTCACTGCTGACCAATACAACACAAT